ATAATAAGGAAGGTTAGATAAAATGTACATTGGTACTCGGCAAGTATGGCCCGGGTTCTAGTCGTGACCTTCCAGTTGGGTCGTGACACAATCTTTATTCAAATTAGCAACACAATTACACCACAACAATAATTCTCTAGAACAGAACAAATACAACTTCATATGTCTTAAAGGATAGATTATCATCAACAATACTTGGTAAAAAAAAAACTTTAAACTGTATCTTTTATTATGCCCTTCTAGTCCACAGTTTCCACATGAAACCTTGTACTTTTTTGCATTTACTTCATCATATGGTTTGTATCTTTGTTTTTGAGGTCTCCCTGGCTGCCTTTTCCCGGTGGGTGGCTTCACTACTTCTTCAGCTATATGTTGTGGCACATTCCATTTGCTATCGTCAATCAGCGGGTCTACTGGTATTTCATAAGTCTGCAGAAGGCTCTCCCTCGTGTAATAAGGAGAACAATATTTTTTATAAGACTCGTTCTTGTGCCTCAAAGTCGCCAAAGCATGTGCACAAGGAAGTTCATCAAGCTGGAATTGTCCACAAGTATATCTCTTGTTTTGAAGGCAAACAAAATGAAGTGCTTCACACTATCTATCACAGTATGAATGTAATCTGTTGAAGCCCTCACCTACAATTTCATTACAAACACATAACAAGTTGTCAGCAGCAGATACAAAACAAAATAACTACAATTATACAATAACTTTTCTACAATTAACAATATATATTTAGTTTGATGGAATCAATGATCTGATGTTATTGGCTTTAGCTTACTCTCATCTTTTGCGATAATGTCCTGTTGTCGTCCAACTCTTTGTTGTATTGTTTCCCCCAAGGTATGCGAATGTACCCTTTGTATTCAATAACTTTTCATTAGTCCAACGTTCAGGAAGAGTCCTCATGTACTCTAATAGTTCTACTACGGGAAGCTCTCTTACATCTTTGGTTACCACATTCAATGACTCTGCAATGTTTGATGTCATCGTCCATGTTCTGTTCACCGTAGCATGTACCTAAGACCATTGTGATAGCCAATATCGTATAGGTATGCTTTAATACATATGCCGATCTCTTCAATCTTTGATATTTTTTCATTAAATTCATCAAGCGTGTATGATCGTGTCGTGGCAAAGTACAATTCGCTTAACTTTAGATGACCCTTCTTGAACTTTGACCTTACATTTGTCCAAATATGCCACATACAAGCATAATGTGGCATGCCGGTATAAACAGTAGATGTTGCCTTCAAGATACTCTCACTCCGGTCCGAAACAACACACATATTTAGTTTTTCACCATATGCATGTTTGAATTGCTCAAAAACTACCTCCATGATGCGTCATTTTCTGAATCAACAACGGTGTATGCTAGTGGTAATATGCTACCTTTCACACATGTTGCAAAAAGAAATTCAGTTTCTGTAATAAAACTTGAGAATATAAAAAATACAGTCTCAAAACAACTTTATAACAATATTTTTACAATTAATCGACATTACCTGTTGCATCCATTATGCTAGCTGTTAGCATGATTCCCCTATATATCGACTTCAAGAAGGTGCCATCAACTACTATAACTGGCCTACAATGCTCCCAACCCTTGATGAACGTACTAAGTGCAACAAATGCATACAATAAACAGACATCTTCAGTCTTCTGCAATTTCACTAACGTCCCCGGATAAGTCTTCTCCAGAATATACAAATAACTCGGCAAGCGACTGTAGGAATCAACAAGATAACCTCTCAAAAATTCTAAAGCCTTTTCTTTTGCTCTCCAAGCTTGCATGTATGTTAATTTCACACCATGATCCGACAATATGTCAGTTTGTATGTCTATTGGTGTGTATATTATCTTAGGATCCGCATATTTTGGCATCACCATGCTGACTACCATGGCAGTAGGTTTGCTTTGTATATATGTGTTGTCCGTTAAAGAGCATGTGTGCAAGCTATTGAATTTTTGAACCTTGAACAATGCTGATTCATTTATGCTGGTGGACTTGAAGTGCCACGTACAATTGTCCCCAACACATACGAGGCAGTAGCTATAGAATAAAAATAATTCAAAAAATATTATGCAAATTGTAGCTACAAAATACGAGGTTGTTTATGCACAAAAACTTATCTTAAACAATCTATATATAAAAAGTCTACAACTTATGCACAATATGAATTTGACAAATAAAATGTTCCTACCTTCTTGCACTAGACCTTTCACCCTAAATTGAAACCTATTCATGACACAATAGTGCTTCATTGCACTGACAATTATTTGCTTGTCTTGGTAAACTTGACTTACTTCAATTACATTTGGCGTATGTTCTGTTATGATGATACTTTCATATTCCATAATTGCCGGAGATGTTTGCATATCAATCAACTTCATTATTCCTGATACTTCTCCAATTGTATTAAAATTGCTTGACAATTGTACCACGTTAGTATTACGATAATCAGAAGAACATGCACTCAATTAAAAGTATAGCAATTCAGACCTTTGTATATTCATGTGTTCAGTATTTGACAGAATGCTTGCAGAGACATAACAGTTGAACTATATTTGTTATGTAGTAAAATTGTAGATAATTTGTAGTAAAATTATAAAACACTTGAAATTAAAAAAACATCATCACTGGAAAAACAGAGCAAACCTGCAATTGTGCTCGCATTCGACATATTGCATTCCAAATTGAAATCACGCATTGTTATACACAGCGGATATATTTCTAAGTTTTTGTTATCCTTTTTCGTCTCCATATACACTTGAACTCCCATATCGCTTCGAATTTCCATTGGAGGACAACGTTCATTGACAGTGTATTTGATTTCGATGATCTTTGCGGAGGTATCGATCATTAGATGCTTTGCAATTGTGGAATTCAATTGACTATAATTTGAATCGTCATTAATTACAATTCCATCAATATCAAAATCTTTGTATCTTCCAACGCTATCCCACCAACCATTGAGGTTAAGCATAATCGCTAATTTTGATATTATGTCGCGAAATTCAATTCAATTGTAGCTAATTGTTTACGATTGTTTTGTTCAAAACCTTTGTTTATGGAAAACCAGAGAAAACCATAGAATAGAAGGATACTAAAGATATGTTGCCTTGATTATGATGTGATGATAACCGTTGAAAATATGCGTAATGGAAGGATTCTACAAATATATTGCCTTGGTTATGGTGCGATGATTGCGTCAGTAAAATCTCTAAGCGAACCCAAAATCCCGCGTCTAAATAAGGAAGACTATCGTAGAAAGAATTCTAATTTAAACAAATGTATAAATTATGTAGCTAAACCGTGTTTAGGTCGCGTAAATTCAAAAATATGGACATTATTTGTAATAAGGTTTCAAATAGTGTATATGAACGAAAAAATCCCAAGCTTTCCAAAATAACTTTTAAGCCATTTTGTAGTGTTTGGATAGAGTAAAAAAGTACTTTTAAGCACTTATTGTTAAGCTAAAATTACAAAAACAAGTAAAAAGCTAAAATTCCTAACTTATGGCTTAAAAACTATTTTGACTTAAAAGTCACTTAAAATAAGCTCGTCCAAACGGGCTCATAGTGATTTCAATTTTCCTGATTTTAATTTATTCATAATGAGGAGCTCATTTTTTTCCCCATTAAATAAGCCCTAATTCTTTCAACTTATTTTCCTCTCAATTTCTGGTTATTAACAATTTGCCAAAGAAAAGTGAGAAAAAAGAAACGTAGAGTTGTTTGGGTTATCGTTTCTTTGGTGAATAGGTGAAAATGAAAGGATCATTATTGGTGAGCGAGTCAAAACTAACTATTTGGTAGTGACCCAGGAAAATCACCCGAAGTTGTACTCAAACACAAAACTCAAACTGGTCCAGATATAATTCCCAAGTACCCTAAGGGAATTGGATGTAAGCTTGCCGAACCAATATAAAATTTGTCTGGTGTAATTTATTTTAAAACAAATTAATATACCTGTTTTACTTAACCATTCTTATCTGAAAATAATAGTTAGATTACTAACTCTTAAAATAATCGACTAAAGTTCAAAACTGGAATAATTTACCCCCTCTTATATTTTTCATAAACATATATTGAATTGGACGCAGCAAGATTGCCTGCACTAGCTGTTTATATACAACATCCATGTGACGCATGTGATATATAATTAACTGTTTATATTATTTAAGCTATTTGAATATGGATGTAGGTAGCCGTAGCACAGGCAATTTCTTAATTGCCATATTGGACATACATGTCCACCAGTTTAATTTCAAAATACACAAGATGATGGAGCAATGATCAAGAATATCTATTAATTTATTAGACACCATGATTTATAAGCTGGCTTTACTCGACAAAGCCAATTAAGGTCACCCACGATCAACCCATTATAAGGCAGTGTTTTATTTTTTCTGCAATAGCACCCTTTTTTCAGAGCACGTGCCGATCCGGAATTTAAATTTTATGCATTCAACGCTTAAGGTTCTTAGCAAATAAGTCATTATATTTAATAAGTTCATATCTTCTATTTGTTATAATTTTAATGAATTCTCACATAAATTTATATTCAAACGCGAAAGTTATAGTTTCAATTGAACCCGTAATTATAATGCTACATCCGCGCCACTGCTATAAGGTCTCCTCGACTCTCGACTATATAAATAAAACCTCTTTAACATAGCCATACTATGAACAATTAATACATCAACTCTTCTTCTACAATATATTACTCTTGCCTTTAGCATTTTTGAATGCTCTCTTAAATAAAAACGCAATGGCTTTAGTGATTGAGCAATGTCAAATTGCACCATCTCCGGGCAGTGTAGCTGAACTCACACTCCCTCTTACATATTTTGATTTTCAATGGTTAAATTTCCATCGTATGCGGCGGATTCTGTTCTACAAGTTCCCTATTTCCAAAACCACATTCGTCCAAACCATTATTCCTAGTCTTACAAATTCGCTCTCCCTCACTCTCAAACACTATATATCCCTAGCAGGCAATGTTGTTTGTCCGCTAGATTTGAGCGGTTACCCTGAGTTGCGTTATTTAACTGGGGATTCTGTATCTGTTATTTTTTCTGAGTCTTATATGGATTTTGATTTCCTTGTAGGAAATCATCCACGAAATGCGAAGGAATTTTATCCCTTTGTTCCTCAGTTGGCAGACGCTAAGCATGCACCCGGGGTACTATTAGCCCCGCTCTTGGCCATTCAAGTGACACTTTTTCCGAATCATGGCATATCCATTGGTTCAACTCACCATCATGTCGCTGGTGATGGTGCTAGCTTTGCAGGGTTCACAAAAGCATGGGCTTCGCTCAATAAATTCGGCGGAGATGAACAATTCTTAGCTAAAGAGTTCATTCCATATTATGATAGGTCCGTAATCAAAGACCCTCATGGACTAAGGATGTCTTATTGGGATGTCATGAAGAATATTAAGCTTGAGATATGTGATCACATTGTGATTCCTCCTCATAAGGTTCGAGCCACTTTTATTATAACACGTGATGACATCAGGAAGCTCAAGAATTTAATATTATCAAGGCGACCAAACCTAACTCATGTAACATCTTTTACAGTAACGTGTGCTTATGTATGGACTTGTTTAATAAAATCAGAGGGCGCTACAATAGGGAAAGAGATAGACGAAAATGAAATGGAATTCTTCGTATGTGTAGCAGATTGCAGAGCGCGATTCAAACCACCAATTCATCCATCTTATTTCGGTAATTGTCTAATGGCGTACATTGCAAGAACAAGACATGCTGACTTAGTTGGAAAGGAAGGTTTTACAATTGCTGTGGAATTAATTGGAGAACCCATTCAAAAAAGGATTAAGGATGAGGAATGGATCTTGAATGGTAAGTGGTTTAAAGAATTTAGCACCGTAAACGCGAAACGGTTGCTTTCAGTTGCTGGATCACCAAAGCTTGACTTATATGCTGCTGATTTTGGTTGGGGAAGACCAGAAAAATTAGAGTTCGTTTCTATTGACAATGGTGATGGCGTATCGATGTCCCTAAGCAAGTCTAAAGACTCAGATGAAGATTTAGAGATTGGCTTGTCTTTGCCTAAAGCTCGAATGAATGCTTTTGCTGCTATTTTCACCCACGGGCTTAACGTTCTGTAGCAAGCCTAGCTAAGATTATATTTTCACCACAAAATAATGTTGATTTTGGTCCAAGTGATACTTCGTTATATTCTTTCTATGTTGGAATATTTCAGTTTACTTTGTTAAAAGATTCCAATTTGTTTTAAGTTACTTCACTAATAAAATTATCGGATAATTTCAGAGACTTCCCTCCAGGTTTCGCCCTATCACACTGACTTCCCTTGTGATTTACAATATTACGCCTACCTCTCTTATTTTGATTTTCTTGTAACCATTCTTTAAACTCATTTAAAATAAATATAAATAAAATACAATTTGACAGATTTGCCCCTTTTAATGTTAATTTCTTTCAATTAGTAAAAACATTATCAACATAACTTACTTAACATATTCTTAAAAATAAACCTACACCAATAATAAGTTAATTTAAATATAGATACATATGTAAAGCTTATCACTATTCTGTATGAACTTGTCTTTCCCATTAAACAAAGTAAACTAGTTACTTCTGAAAGGTCTCAGGTAGCTTTTCTGTACCTTTACCAGTTCATTGGCGACTTCATTTTTCGCGGCAAACCAACATTTTCTGGCGACCGACGTCAAATTTTATAAGAAACTCCCCAAACAATGAAGCTGATGAGAACGACCGGAAAAAATTTTAGTAAGGATATCCACGAACTGAGAAGAAAAAGGATTCAACAAATAGAGAAAAATCATCCAAAATTGCTGGTTAACGATGTTAAATTTGAGTCCTATATGCTTCTCATTCATGAAAGACGGGTATATATAAGGAAAATGAGTTTTTCAACTATTGGACAACGAAATCTGGTGGGGTTTGGAAGAGAAATTAGATCTAAGCTTGAATGAATGGTCAATAGGGGGGGAAGCTGCTGGTTTTGTTGGTTGCGGCGAGTAAGTCTAGTTCATCTCTCTTTCACTCTTAATACTCCAATATGTTGAAGATTAGGTGCCAAGTAGGACGATTAATGTCTATGTCATATTGTTTAGTTTAAATTAGACTTTGTTGGAAATGATAATATCCGCAATACAACATTTTAGACATTTAACCACTCTTGAAAAGTGTGGCCTAAACTACCAAAAAATGTGGCATTTAATCAAAGGCAACACTTTTCACTTTAGACAATGCTTTGTAGGGTGGCCTAAACGAGCGTAATATTTTTCCTAAGGCCACGCTTTACAAGTATTGCTTTAGAAGCTACGCTTCAAAAGTATGGCATATGCGGTACATAAGCCATGCTTGTACATACCCTTGTAGGAACCCTTTTCATGTGTGGCTTCTGTAGGAACCCTTGTAAAGTGCTACCTTTCTTATAAAAATAATTTTTATAATATATTCGGTAATCATATTTATTACCAAACATATATAATATTATCATATATTTTGTGATTATTTTTAAAGTATAAAGATCTCAAACACTACATCAAATAACAACAACAACAACAACAACCCAGTACAATCCCACTAGTGGGGTCTAGGGAGGGTAGTGTGTACGCAGACCTTACCCCTACCCTGAGGTAGAGAGGCTGTTTCCGATAGACCCTCGGCTCCCTCCATCCAAGAACTCCCCACCTTGCTCTTGGAGTGACTCGAACTCACAACCTCTTGATTGAAAGTGGAGTGTGTTCACCACTAGAACAACCCACTGCATCAAATAACAAATAACAAATAACCAAAAACAATTCATGCGTACACTTGCTATGAACTTCCAATATATATATATATATATATATATATCATTTCTAAAATACAATAAATTGTTCAAAGGTGCGTCCTAACAATGACCTTAAAAAAATGAATATATGTATCATGATAATATTTTAGACACATCAATCAGCTAAAGCTAGCATCTATTAGAAACCTCATTTGCTATCCCCTTAGCTACATGTAACTTTTCTGATACATGGCCGGTTTAAGTCCATTTGCATCATCTCCTGATTTTGCAAGTGATACGTTTTTGTAAGCTTGACCTCCACATTAATTTAAGCCGCACGTAAGCTTTCCTTGTTCAAACCAGCAGAAACTTCTGAATGTTTCTGGACCTTAAGTTTCCCATTTGTATTTTATTTGTTCTCATCAGTAGCTTTGATTTGCCATACCTACAATTGAGACAAACAAAGATGCATCATTTGTTTTAGCCTACTAATAATGTAAAAAATTTATATCTGTGTCAGTTCCAAATATATAATGTCAAATGAATACTATAAAGTTAAAGGGATTCAAATACATGAAAGCACTAATTGTTGGGGCATATACCTAAGGGAGAAAATTCATTGCACCTTGGAAGAGTACGAAAATGATACGGTTAAGTGTTTCCAAATCAGTAAAAGATGATCGATCCTAAACAACGACTGTATAATGGTCGGAAAAATCTATTTTGCACCTTTGATGTCAAGGTCACCATTCTTCACACAACAAAAACCTTATAAAAGAAAGAAATAATTTTACACCACGTTTAAGTGGGAAAGTTTTGTATGAATTTCGTAAAACTTTTACACCAAGTTTGGACGGTGTTGCTTTTAAATATACCAAAAGTAATACTAGTAAAGTGTAGCTTCATATGTGGATGAGCGTTCTCAAAAGATTTTACATTAGGCAACGTATACAGTGTGTAGTCTTTATACATAAAGAACACGTTTTACGAGTGTTACCTAAAATGCATTGCATAAAACTCTTAATAAAGGTCACCCTTGTAAAAGCATGCCCATAGATATTTTTGGCAACAATTTTCAAGCGTAGTACATAAATGGTGTTGAGCAGTGGCGGACCCATATGGTGGAAAGCGAGTTTAACTGAACCCGCTTCGTCAAAAAATAATACTGTATATATGTATAAATTACGATTAAAACTGCATAAATTTTGTATAAATATTTTATTTGAACCCACTTGACAACTACTATTTTACGACTAAAGTTATGTACTTCTAAGATTGAACTCGCTTGCACAAAATCCTGGGTCCGCCACTGGTGTTGCCATGGGCCAATTTTGTTGTAGTGGCCGTAATGAGTAGTTGTTGAATTTCTTCGTTTTTGTTTCCTCAAACATTTTTGAGTTTCAGATGAATTATTTAACGCATGATTAGATAGGGATATTTTCTGTTTAAGTGCAGGCTTGTTTTTAGTTCATCAATCACTCTGAAATGTCATCTTAACTCTTAGCAAATTGTAGTATCACACCATTAGCCTTGAGGAAAGAATTGAAAAATATGCTAGTTGTTTGAGTATACTAGTTGCAACATCTTTCCACAACAAGAAATTAAAAGACAGAATATGCTTGTTTGTCTATATCCATGAGATAAAATCTCAATGGAAACTTTTGATCGGATAATATGAGCAGATATATATCTAAAGACGAAGCATCGGTAAAATGATTTGGCAATAACTTAAATATAACTAACCAAAAACAACAAAAATGTAATCATTGTACTTAAGCAAAGAATTTAAAAGGTTAACAGAATGTTTAGATAACTAAGAAAGTAGCCATATTTAATTTAATGCAACATACTAAAAGACTTCTCCGTCCATCAGAACATCCAGTGGTATATTCTTCAAATCCTCCACGCTTTCATTTTAGTATTCAGAAGTAGAAGTTTCTAAAGGCCTTCCTCTCTAGAAAGTGAAAAGTATATTTCGTTTTAGAAATATAGCATATAAAGTAAGTATCATAAACTAAGCAATAAAGGTATATAGAATAACCTTTCTAGGTTGTCCAGTTGCAACAGATTTTGTTTTTGGCAACATGCTTTCGTTGCCTGGGAGGAATAGTATCTCCATTAAGTGATGCAATAGGAGCTGTTGTATCGGCCATACCCCTTCCCCTTCGAGTCGTAAACAAAATAAATTAGTATACTTGATACATATATATA